TATTACTATGGACTTCATTACGAAGCTTCCCAGGACCGCTCGAGGAGTGGATTCGATTTGGGCCATCGTTGATCGATTGACCAAGAGCGCCCATTTTCATCCGATTCAGGAGAGTATTTAGGCCGAAAAGTTGGTCGACATCTATATCCGGGAGGTAGTGGTGCGGCACGGGGTGCCAGTTTCAGTGATTTCAGACATGGATGTGCGGTTCACTTCCAGGTTTTGGAAGAAGTTTAATGACGAGCTGGGTACTCGACTGCATTTTAGCACCGCCTTTCACTCGCAGACGGATGGTTAGAGTGAGCGGACCATCCAGACACTAGAGGATATGCGGAGGGCGTGAGTTTTAGACTTTGGGGGTAGTTGGGATACTTACCTTCCGTTGGATGAGTTCTCCTATAACAATAGCTATCATGCGAGTATCGACCGTCCTCCTTTCGAGATGTTGTATTGGAGGAAGTGCAGGACCCCGATATGCTGGGGAGAGGTTGGGCAGAGAGTCATGGGGAGTACCGAAGTAGTACTCAAGACTACGGAGCGGATCCAGCAGGTTCGGAGCAGGCTTCAGACTGCTCAGAGTCGGCAGAAGAGCTTTGCCGACAAGCGACGGTCGGACCTAGAGTTCCAGGTCGGGGATATGGTACTCCAGAAGGTGTCGCCATGGAAGGGCGTCATTCGATTCAGGAAGCGGGGCAAGTTGGGCCCCAGGTATATTGGACCCTTTCGGGTTATGGCCCGGGTAGGCAAGGTGGCATATAGGCTGGATCTGCCAGCCGAACTTAGTTAGATTCATAGCACCTTTCATGTCTCCCAGTTGCGGAAATGTCTGGTGGACGATTCGGCGGTGGTGCCTTTGGAGGATATTCAGGTTGATAACAGTCTGAACTACATCGAACGACCAGGGGCAATCCTTGACAGGAAGTCAAAGGATCTGAGGAATAAGAGAGTACAGAAGGTAAAGGTGCAGTGGCAGCACCGCAAGGGCTCGGAATGGACCTAGGCTCCAGAGGAGGAGATGAGGGAACATTACCCCGAGCTTTTTCAGGATCAAGCAGCAGACTTCGAGGACGAAGTCTAAGATAAGTTGGGGAGATTTGTAACACCCGATTCCTGGTATACTTTTTATTCAAGTATTTTGTGTTTTTCTCTGGGACTCAACGAGTTGGAGGCCCAACTCGTCGAGTAGAGTCGTGACCCGCGGACAGTTTAAGTAACCTACTCGACGAGTCGGGGGACTGACTCGGCGAGTAGGTGCTGGTTGAGTGAAACCCAACATCTGAGGGTTTGCACCCTATTTAAACACCTTATCTCAGCCTCCATCGCCCTTATCACTCCCAGAAAGCTGTGTATCGAAACCCAAGCCATTTTTGTGTGTTCTAATGCCATTTTGGTACATTTGGTGGTTTGTGAAGCTTGAGAAGGAGAATGAAGCTTGAGAGTTCGAGTTGGGGCTTAAAGATTCAGAGATCTAGTTCCATTTTCAGCACAATCAAGGTAAAATGCCCCTGCCTTGGTCTTCTATGTGTTTATTCATCTTTAGACTTGGATTTTGGGCACATTTAGGGCTTTCCAAGCCATTTTCGGATTTATGGAGTGTTATGTGGAGTCTTGACTTCAGATCTAAGTCATTGGAAGGGTCTCATGGCATAAAGGTGCCCACTTCACGGCCATGAGAGCCCCATGCATCTTGTAGAGCACTTTTTATGACTTTTTGAGCAAAAACCCTCATGTATGTACACCAAGTTTGGAGCTTTACGTATGAAATGGACATTAGGGGGCTAGATCTATGGTTTTGTGGTATTAAGGCCCATTTAAATTGACTGTATAGTGTTGGTCATGGATGGACTCGACGAGTTGTTCTTGGGACTCGGCGAGTGGCGGTGTAATGACCACCAAATCCTTTCTGTGGATGGACCAGTTGTTTGGGAGGAAAGTCCCTTAGATGTTTAGACACGAAAAGGGACCTGGGAATCATGGGACTCGACGAGTGTATGAACAGACCCGACGAGTCCAAGGCAATCTCCCAACCTTTGAAGATGGACTCGACGAGTTGTTCATACAACTCGGCGAGTCGTAGACTGTACATGTTCTTATGAGGGAAATGAACTCTCCGAGTTCAAGGAAGAACTCAACGATTCGGATGAAGATGGTCCCGATGGATTGAATGAAGGAGAACCCGTCGAGTTCTTGCTAGACTCGACGAGTGGAGTCGGGGTTGTATCGGGTTAGTGGAGTATGGACTCGGGGAGTTGGCGGACCAACTCGACGAGTCAGGTCAACTGGGTGTTGACTTTGACTGGTTATCGTATTGACCATGGTTAGGGTTGTATGTTCTGTTTGATGACTTGAGGATTGTCGTGTAGGGATTGAGGAGTCGAGGAGAGCCGACCTTCACGCCGAGGACAGTTCAGACGCTACATGACTTCGAGGTGAGTTACCTTCCAGTTGGAGTGGGTCTAAGGCACCAAGGCCGGCCTAGTAATTGTTAGTTGGGATGATTATCTTTGTGATAATCGTCTGGTCTGTTATTCTTGGATATGCGAGTATGCTAGATTGCTGGATATGTGAGTATGCTAGTTTGCTAGTTGCTATGTTATGTGAAATAGTATGAGTAAAAGGGGACTAGTCCCCGATTCGGTCTTTAGGGCCAATGGGTAGGTCGGACACCCCAGATATGTCTGAAAGCATGATTATGATATGATGTTATGTGTTAGTAGTAGGGGGTGAAATAGTCCCCATGATCGGTTGAGATAGACCGAAGGGTAGGTCAGCACCCCAGAATAGCTTGACATGGGTAGGTCAGCACCCCAAAATGGCTCGACATGGGTAGGTCAGCACCCCATAATGGCTTGACATGGGTAGGTCAACACCCCAGAATGGCTTGACATGGGTAGGACGGGCGCCCCAGAATTGCCCGGAAGTATGTATGCTATGTGATTGTATGGTATGTGGTATGATGGGGGAACTCACTAATCTTTGTGCTTACAGTTTCAGTTTTGGTTTCATGTACCTCTTCGTCCAAGGGGAAGGAGCCGGAGGTGTAGCAGCGCATGACACACGCACATATGATTTCGGCTTAGAGTTTTCTAGGATTGTACTCTGATATTTCATTACTTCAGATGATATGGTTTTGAGACATGATACTATGGTTTTATGTATTGACACGATTTTGGCAATGTCTTGATAAGATATTTTATAAACCGCTTAATTAAAAATGAAATTTTTGGCCTTGATTTTTGGGATGTTACAAGTTCTCACCATGTCAATCTATACACCAAATCAGACGTTCGGTGTGCAGTGACGAGAATTTAGATAGGGGAATTAGACATATAAATCTCCTTATCTCTCCGAAAACTTACATGCCAGTTCTAATATCGTAATTAAACGTTTAGAAATCTGAACACATAAAGTTTCCAGATCCGGTCGGCAACGGACCATAGATCCGATCAAATAATGGCGTCATAAAGCATCACAAAACATTTAGCACATAAAGCAATTTAGGCATCTTCCCTAAATGAGCTAGTACTAGTATATATTAAGGTGTTCTACCTAAAATATATTAGACACACTCCTCACGATCATCGCTTAGCATTCTATGTTTAAGTCTAGAAATAAATCCTTATTCCTAGTTCACTTAAACTAATGCTCTGATACCAACTGTGACATCCCAAAATTCACGGTAATTTTAAAAATTTCATTTATGCTTATTTGAAAATCAGAGTATCCATTTTTAAAGAATATTATTGCGAAGTTTGTTCCTAGAAAAACATGATAAATGCATTATCAAAGCATTTCCGAAGAAATGTATTTTATTTATTTTAAAACATTAGGATGTCATCGCCAATACAGAAACATAAGCATAAATAGACCTTACAATCTTTTACACTAGTGATTTACATCTCATTTAATCTCTTAGTGTAATGTAGCTTCGTACCGTTACCTGTGATACAAACAAACTGAGTGGGTCATGTTGGGAAACCTGGTGAGTACATAGGGTTTTCAACCCATAATAATAAAGTTATTAGGTTTCATCAACAAACAATTAACCCAATTACTCATCCCCATTATCTTCTTTATTTTTTTTTAAGGATCTATCCTAAGAATTCTCTATCATTCATTCACTCATTCCTAAGGATTGTCCTAAGGAATAGGCACGCAGTCCATCGCTGCCAGGGTTTATTTAACAGACACTAAGGTGTTGTTTGTTTTTCTAAAGCAAAAATTCATAAAGTATGCGGACCACCTCTGCAACCCTCTGCAGCAGAAGAGGTGGACCAAACGGTTGTAGACTGTAATTAGAAGCGTGTTTGTTTTTGTTAACATCTGCAAGCTGCTGTAGACATTAAAAATTTAAAATAAACCAATTTAATAAACAGAAAATAGTTTTTAGAAATTTTTTTTTGTAATGATTAGATTTTCTCAATAATATTAAATGAAATATATATATATATATATATATATATATATATATATATATATATATATATATATATATATATATATATATATTCAAACTCAATATATTTCGCGAATCCATTTTATGTCCGGTTTAATTAAATATTATACTTTATTCTTTATTTTTTTTAGAATGGCAATTAAATATTAATTGATTTTATATTGAGACGAGGAAACAAGCGAAAAATTGATTTAAATATGATATCTTGCCAATATTTTGGATTATATAAAAGTTAATATAATATATAAATTTTGTTATATAATATCCTGCCAAAATATTGGGTTTCCATTTTGCATTTTTTTATGTATATACGATTTTGAATAACTTTAGTTATGATAAACTAATGGACGCTATGAATTATAATATTTACATTAGAAAAACCAAAAAATGTGTAATGCCTAATTTAATATTTTTAATATAATAAGATGTTATGTTTTTTTATTTTAAGCCTTAAGCGCATGTTTGACAATTGACAATAATTTTAAAAAAATATATTTTTTTTACAACACAATGCATATTTTTGTTTAAATTAAATAAGACGGGTATGTTATATTTTGAGGTAATTTTTTGTTTATGAATTATATTTTTATGCTCCATGCAGCCGTTTTTTTTTTGGGTTGGATTCTTTTTAGGTTTAGGTTTGAAGGGGTGGAAAGAGGTGGGAAGAGGTACAACAAGTGCTTCCCCAAGAAGTGCACAGGCAGAGGTTTTACGCCTAGAAGATTTCCGAAAAACAAACTACTGTAGGACAAAAAGTGTTGCGCGTGTGCTGCGCCGCATAACAATAAGAGTTTTGGAGAGGTTTTTTGTAAAAAAAAAACACCACCTAAGTCCATAGCTGTCGATGTTATCTATTAGGCACACCTGCCAACATTATCCTTTAGGCGCAGCTGCCAATATTCATCTATAGGACACTAAATCCATAGCTGCTATGGTTTATTTCTTCTATCGACAATATTATTTTAGGAAGTCCACCAATAATACATGTCAATGAGTTTTTAGAGTATATCTGGTAAACACATCGTTCACAACACCTACAGGTTGCAAGTCTGCTAGAGTTCCACTGGACTGTCTAGAATAGACTGTGGTTGTCATCTATACTCTGCTAGATGACTGGGCCAGCGCTTAGGTCATTGCTTCTCATCATCTTTCATTTTTCTCATCATCTATATCATCTTTCATCTCTCATCATTCATTTCATCTTTCATCTCTAGTCTACCCACCTTTCTTTTATTTCTTACACGTATGTTGGTTTGCAATTCACAAACCAATTATAGTTACATTTATGGTCTCTCAGTTATTTTTGTATTAACACAATATATCTTTCAAGTTACACCATAGTCCCTTAACTATTTATTAATAAAATTATTATAGCCTTTATAATAAAATCTTGTCTAAATTTATAATCAATAACCAATGTCGTAAAAAGTACTCGGTAACGGAAAAATTATCGTTTCACTACTTGGGTTCATCCTTAAATGTATTTAGACCAAATACGTCTTATATAGTTTGAGATTTTTCAATCGTTAAAATTTTCGTTAAGATTATTTATCCAAAATAATGTTTCGTTTAAAAATGTTATTTTATCACTTTGTGATAAGTTTATAACCAGATTTATACAAATATTACATACTCATAATATTTGTCCACATAACTCGTATATAACAAATAAATATTTATATAACCTGTAATGCGTAGAAGAAAATTTATCCGATTTAAGGATTTTAATTATTTCATAAAACAAATATTTATTATTATTATATATACCATAAATTCTCAAAAACTTCGGGTATAGTTTTTTCTCTTTTCTTTTTTGCCGCTGAGCTTTTTATTTTCATTTTTAGGCCACAACTTCCATTCCATTCTTATCGTCTTTCACCGATCTCCACGTCGTCGCCCTCCTAGTCCAATACTCTTTCTTCCGCTTTTCCTTAGTTCCTCTTTCTTTTTTCTTCTTCGCTCTTCCTTGCTCTTCCTTTCTTTCGCTTTTCCTTACTTCAATCTTCTCCAAGATTCTTCTACCTTGCGCTCCTCCACCGCCATCCACCGCTTACAAATTAAACGATTTCAGGTCGTCGATTCATCCTATTTGATCGTTGTTTTGCTGTATTGACTATTTTCTGAAGCTCCGCCAATCGGGTCCCAACGTCAAAGCACCAACGCTCCACCGGACCGCAAGTAGTTGAATCGATTGTTCCTGAAAGTAGCTTCTATGACGATGGTGGAAGTAACGACGATGTTTTAGAGTTTCTCCAACTAATCGATAGTACGACATTTTTATTGGCTTAACCGGTAGCTCTCCAGGTAAGTAAAGTCGGATATCATAGTAATCCAAATATTTTTGAGTGATTTTGATTCGTAATTTAGGTTTTGTTTTTTAGTATATGATTTTGATTAGGATTCATTGTCTTTAAGATCGTTAGTTTAATGGGATCTGATAAAGGATCTGATTGCCTGTTTTCGTTTTCAGATATGTAAGTTGTCCCGTTTTCCAGTTAACTTTCTCATAAATTGCTTCGTTTCTGTTGCAGTGGAGAATATTTATCAGCATAAAGATGATTTGGGAATGTCTATTGACATGTTTGCTGCCCGTGTTCCTCTCAGTCAACTTTACTTTCACCTTCGTTTATCTGCATCTGCAACAGAAGTGAGCAAAGGGTTTGATGAAGGCAGAATTCCAGTTACTGAAACATTTTTTCTCATGGGAACAATTCATCCTACTAGAAGATTTTATCTCATGTGAACAACTGATCAACTCAGCAGGTACGTCTGTGCTATCAAGAAACATTAAAGAATTAAATCAAATCTTAAGGTGTAAATTAGTAATTTAAACTTTGCAGGTACTAATGTGATTACTGGAAGACACTTGGTAGTGTTCCTTGCTCTTATAGTCTGTGTCTTTCTTTTAGTTGCATACTACATTTATCAGGTAAATATTTTTTATACCAGAATGTATTTTTTTTGTTAGGTTTTCTATTTCTTTTACATTATCTCTCTCGTGTTCACATTTTCCAGAATGAATTGGTGATTTTGGATCAGAAGAAAGCAAAGGAGTGAATGTTGAAATTTGTTGATGATCATAGTAAGGTTTATAATAAAGTTTCTTATTCTTAAAATTTTTGAAAGAGAATAATCATATCTTCGAGTAATGTTTTCTAATTCCTTTATATAGAGAGCAAAGAGAAACTTTAGCACAAGATTATTGAGCTTCAAAAGAAGGTTGATGATAACCATCGATTGGAACTTGAGATCAAGCAGTTGAAATGAGGCATGGAAGTAATGAAGCACATGAGTCATGAGGAAATTGTAGCAAAGAATAAATTAGAGTCCACTGAAAAAGATCTGATAATCAAAGAAATATCGACAAATGACTGCTTGCAAAGAGTTAATTTCCTTGACCTTCTTTTTTTCCAACTGTTTTATGCGTCTGTAATCAATCATGTTTAAATTTACGATTAGATTTGTAATTACCTTTTTATTCCCCCCAAAGAAGCCTGTTGTTGTTTGCTCAAATGATGTTCATATAAATTTTGTTGTTGCTGTTAACCAATTGGGATTGAGAGTGAATCCTTTTTGGTAATTTTACATGGTGGGTTTATATAAAATTTGACTACAAGTTGTTGTTGTTGTTTTTTAAATTATGCAGAAGCTATATGGAATTACTAGGGAAAATGTAGCAACTCACCTCTAGGTATGTGAACCTTTTCTTTAATTTCCGTTTTTTTTGCTTAGTGGATAAACAGTGTTTGTCTGAAATAAATGACCGTATTTCCCTACATTTACTCGAGTTTTTGTTAGATCACAGTCACTGTGACCATAATTCATTAGCCTTTAATAACTTTTTCCTACTTCATGGTCTCTTCTTAGTTATCTGACCACTTTTGTTGCCTGGAGGTTCATTTTTATTACACTCCATATCAAGCTTTCAACTTCATCAAACAAGTTAAAAACAAAAGAAAAAGTAAATCATAATGTAGAACATAGGTACAATATCCAACATATAGCGACTTATATACCAATGAAAATTTAAGGTTAGTATTTATTTTTATCCAGCATATATATTTTAAAATTTTATCTTATCGTTTAAGCAGTATTTATACTATATTTCATTGTGGTTATAGTTTGATTCAGTCTATGCAAAGTAACATTAAGGGCATTAAAGATGCCAACAACTTTTGCATATTGTAAGTCTTTTTAAATTTTTAGATTAATTTTTTTTTAGAAATTAATATTGTCTTTGATTTCTCGTTGTCTTTTAAAATGATGCAACGTTTTCTTTGACTGACTCAGGAAAATAATAGAAAGAAGTTGAAAACGTGTGATTTTCTTGCTGGTGCTGTTGAAAGATAAAAGGAACAGCAGGTAAGAAATAGAATTATATCTTGATTGCTTAACTGCTTTCCAATCATCCTGTTACCACTTCAGTTAACATTCCTTGAATGTAGGGATTAGATCTGGACATTCATCATTCAGATATACAGCCTGTGAAACTGTCTTGTATAAAGTTTCTATAATCTAATATCACTTTTGTTTTGTTTTGTTTTTTCTGTTATGAATTTTCTTTTGTCTTCAACTTTTCAGAGGATTATTCCATGATGATGGTGTCTTTGGTTGCAGATGGATGGAGTTCTGGACGGGACTCAATTCTTTGATGGATTAAAATTTGATTCCATTCTTCCTTTTTCTATAAAAGACTAAAATACCTCCATTTATATTTAAGTTGGAATAGATAAAAACAAAAACTTAAAATAATAAGTAAAAGCTTAAAAATTTATTTACAAATTCCATCATAATTATTAACAAATCGTGCTTGTAATATTTCAGGCTGTTGGATACTATGCAAGTCATAGACAATGTACAGGCTGATACTTATCTTTATGTTTCTTCATCATTCGTTAATTTTTTTAATCCCCATGTCATTTTGCAAGTTAAATTAAACAACAATTCTTCACTTGATCCATCTTATAATAATACACTAATATTTTTGTTTTGTAGAAGAAAAAAATCCCACTTTTGGTAGATGGAAGGTGATGATGTCTGTATGGATACATTGTTGTATACATCAAATGACTATTTTAACCTTGCACTACAAGAAACTCTGTAAGTGATTTTTTTGTTGATAGTAGGTGGAAGATCTTTATTCGATGCAATTTGTAGAATTTTTGGGAAGACCAACATCATAGCAGAAGACTTGGTATGGAATTATTTCCATTTTTTATAGCAAATAAAAAGAAACATATATATAAAAAAAAGTTAATTTTTTTGGGAATGACAAGGAGTTGTAACAGAGGATGTAGTCCACCTTAGAAAATCCATTGGTGCACCAGGGATGGTTGTTATTCAGTTTGGTACTGACTTTTTTTTTTTACTTATTCACTTATTTCCATAATTTATATTTATAAAAAATATTCATTAATAATTTTTTTTACAAATAAGTTTCGAAAATGATTAAGCAAACCCTCCCTCATCTGCCTCACAATCATGAGCAAAATCAAGGTGTATATGATGGAACTCACAATAATGACACGGTGATCTTGGTTATCTTCTCATCGAAGACCAAAAAAGCATTGAACGTTCCTATAATTATACATTAAAAATGATTTTTAACTTTTTTTTTTATGGATACGAGGTTGGTGGGATGCCTTGCAGTATTAAAAATGCAATGTGAGTGAGTGTTTTTAAGTTTAAACACTGCAATCTTATATAATTATTTTCGGACAATAATCTTGACTTTTATTTATTTTTGTATTTCCCATGTTTAATTATTTGTCGATTTATGTGGATGATGATACTTCATGAGATTTAATATTGGATGCACTCTCTGATCTGGTGAACTTCCCACTTCCTTTGTATTTTTTTTAACTGATCTTTTTTTTTTTAACTTATGGAGTGGTTATTTAAAACACTTAATGATGCTGAATATATAATTGCAGGGACAATAATCATTTCATCATACTTTGGTTTTGATTTATTATGATATGTCAAAAGTTGGATAAGATCTTAAAACACGTTTTTTTGGTGTTTTAAAATCTTTCTGGTGTTGTAGAGGCGACAAATTACTGCGTTGCCCTTTTCACATGTGGATATGGAGCCCTGGATGTTGGGATAATACTTCATGCTGCAGAAGGTTCATCTTGCTAACAAATCAAGGATGAGATTTCTTGCTTTCGTGACATGATTTTTTTCTTTTCAGGGTAAAGCATCTTTAAAAAAAATATAATTATTATAGCATTGTACTTTTTAACTTTCTTTTTCAAGATGAGATTTCTCTCTTTCGTGACATGATTTTTTTTTCTTTTCAAGGTGAAGCATCTTTGAAAAAAATATAATTATTATAGCATTGTACTGTTTAACTTTCTTTTTCAAGATGTTATATAAAAATTTCAATAGCATTTACGCAAACTTGATCCAACCTAGCGCCAACGGCGCATGTAATTCCTACTAGTTATTATTATCCCCTTAACGTTTAGCCTAACTCTCGGACGTTACAATTCTCCCCCACTTATGATGATTTCGTCATCGAAATCACAAACTCAACGAATACATACGATCTCCGCTACTCTCTTTTCTTTATTATTATTATTATTATTATTATTATTATTATTATTATTATTATTATTATTTTCAAGTAAGAGTTGTCTTTCGCACTTTTTCCTTAATGGTTGGTTCTCCCTCACTTGGGTTCAAACTCTTTTCTGCTGCTATTTACAACCAATCAAAGCCCAAGTCGGATCCGTCTCTGTGATTGTTAATCTTCTTTCTCTGTGAAAGAATCTTATGATCGTCATATTAATGACTTTATCATCACCAACGTAGCAGCACTGTGTGTACTCGCAACGAGTGATCATCTCATTTCTCAAGATGATGGTCTGATCAAGATCATGACAAGCACGGAGTCGTCTACCAACGTACATGTGTACACAATGGTATACAAGGGTAATACTAGCAACACCAACGATTGCTAAACTCAATAGTTTCTTTTCCTCTTTCTTGGGACGATTAACTTGTCGCTCTTCAGTTGATCATCTTGACTACATCTAAATTACTTGGACACAGACGCACAACAAACATCCTTATGTGTACTTTTATCAACTGTTACTTTTATGGCTTGCCTAACGATTGTCAAACTTTTCAGACTTCTTAGTTGATGGTGGTGCTCAAACTTGCACCCGCTCTTCATTCTCTATTAGACCTTCAGTCATAATTGTTGGATTAGGTGTCTAAGTTCATAACTATTTTTGGAATGTATTTGACCCGGTTGGCATGGTCTATTTGGGTTGCATTGCTTTGCAACACTTGGATAGACTAAATGAGAGAAAGGACACTTAAGGTTTATTAATATATTATAAGTTCTAATATATTAATAATATTATTTAATTAGTATTGATCAAGAACTAATTTGGAATTAATTAAGTGATCAAAAGAAGACTAATTAAATATATGGGGTTGATTTTGTAAATCATCCATTCTTGTATAGTAGACTAATGATCCATGATTTATTGAATTGGGATAAAACCTATAAGGTGCTCCATGGATAGTCCATGGAGGTTATAAACCCATGGATCATGGAATATGAAAAGCCATGCACATTAGGGTTTACATCGAGTAACCCTACATGTGGCACACTATATAAGAAACTCCATAGCTAGCAAAATTGGCCACTAAGTGAAGAACAAGAGGGCTAGCCGATTTTGAGTGTTAGTGAACTTCTCTCAAAGTTATTCCAAGGGTTGTGGTGTTGTGTGAGACATTTGAGGCATCACACTTGAGGTGCTTGGCTCACAAGGTTCTCAAGGAATCCAAGCAACAAAAAGGTATGTTCTTCTACTAGCAATTATGTTTCAAAGTTCCCCATGCCATGCTAGTTAGGTTAAGAACCTTGGAAAAACAAATTTGCATGTATCTTAGTAAAACATAGATCCAAGGTTTCTAGGGTTGCATGTACACCTTAGGAGTGTTAACCCATGAAATTACGCTTTGCACTTTGCTTAAGTCATTAGTGGTGCGTGTGTGGTTAACCGACACACTAGCTTTGACTTAACAAGGTAGGAAAAGGGTGGGTTAAGGTTTATCATAGATCGGTGGAACGCGTGTGGTTAACCGGCACATTGGTTAGGTGATAAACATTAAGAATACCAAGTAATTTGCATGGTTACTTCACACCTTGTTTTGTGATCCTCGGCATCCCAGTCACAAAACTTGAAGGGCACACTCGAGATTGAAACATGCCGTTGAAAAGTTCAATGAATCTCAAAAGAATCTAGGAGTTTCAAAAACCAATTAAAACCTAATAATCTATTTCATTTTTCATGGTGGAAATTGGTGAATCGTTATTCACATACCTTCAAATATTCTATAGCTTGGATTACGGCATACCTCTTCTAAGTTATAAAATATTGTGTTGGGTCCTAGCCTTAATATTACATTTGGGTGTTTTATTAAGGACTATCTTTATATCTCATCTAAACTTGTCTTTCTTTTTCAGATGTCTTCCAACAATGCTGCTTCTGGCTCAAACCGTACCGGCTCCTTCTTGGTAACCTTGTGACTTTCCCTGATCCAAGTGCGAGTCATGTGCTTCCGGTAGTATAGGCCTCTACTACCATTCACACCTACTCATACTCGTCCTAAGTATTGTCTCGCAGTTTTCCAAGTCACCATACAAGAATTTCACAGTCATTTAACACATTGGATAACATAACGAAGGTTTATATAACTTCTTGAAACGATTATATAGATATTCAGGTTCACCCTACACTATGCCTCTTATATTAGGCTACACCACATGATACTACCTATATGGCTGCTTCATTCCCAATCTTTGGATATATAGATCCTCCCTCCTGATCCCTTGCATTGTCACGTACTTCATCCAGGATTATCAGAGATGCTCTTGCCTTTGGCTTTGGAGGTACATTCGCTCTTGCTGCCTCATTATTCTTAGGGAAGTCCCTAGAAATATGCCATTCTTCCTTACATCTGTAACACACCTTCTTGGTAAATGTAAACTCATTGGCGTAATGCCAGTGTTCCTACACTTGAAACACGTCACATTCCTTCCATATTTTCTATAGTGTTTCTTTTTGCACTTCTTGTACGACCAAAATTTCAACCAAATTAAAACGTTTTAGTTCATTCAAAAACCATTACGATCATACATCTTGTTTTCAAAATAGTTTAAACATCAGAGTACTTTCCCCAGAATCATATTACATAAAGCATAAACATGAGGAGCGGTACGATCACGCCTTCGCCTTGCCACAATCTCCTAGAGCACCTGAAACAATAAACCACAACTGTAAGCCCGAAAGCTTAGTGAGTTCCCCCAAAGTACTCATACACACATAAACATACGCATACAGCAAAGAACAACATACTTCGGGTCCAATCAACCTTCCGGTTGGAATACCCCCGACCCTCAACCATCGGGTTGGAATGCCTACCTAACACGAGTCCAATCATCCTACCGGGATGGAATGCTCTCGGCTCACAACCATCGGGTTGGAATGCCCATACACCTACACGTACAACAATAACTACTATGGGTCCAATCATCCCTTAAGATGGAATACCCCAGGCCCCTCAACCATCGGGTTGGAATGCCAACATACTATGAGTCCAATCATCCTACCGGGATGGAATACTCCTGGCCCACAACCATCGGATTGGAATGCCCCACTTCCTATACATACTACTACTACTACTACTACTACTACTACTACTACTACTACTACTACTATGGGTCCAATCATCCCTCGGGATGGAATACCCCAGGCCCCTCAACCATCGGGTTGGAATGCCAAACTACTATGAGTCCAATCATCCTACCTGGATGGAATACTCCTGGCCCACAACCATCGGGTTGGAATGCCAATCTACACTAGCAAACATACACACATAACAGGCATACATAGAACACTCTACAAAACCAACACACTAGGGCCCTATCATCCTACCGGGATGGAATACCCTCCGCTACTGCTCATCATACATAACCCACAGGTAACCTCCTACCAGCATACATAGAGCAAGACCAACTACCGGTTTATAAATAATCACTACCCAACTACCAGGGCGCTGATCCAACAGAACTATCCATCATACAACCATCCATTTCTCTAGGATACTAAGCTAACAAAGCATATTCTCATATCACTATCTCATCTACCATGATACTAGCAAACATATCATCACATAACATAACAGGCTCTAACAACAATTTAAAGGGCCGGCCTTGGTGCCTTAGACCCTTGAGTACAGTGAGGAAAACTCACCTTGCAACTGCCGGAATCCTGCAAATCTCTGACTGCTGACTCGCCGGAAATCCCAACTATCATATGAAAACCATCACATTAGAAACCATCATGACTTTCTAGACCAAGGGCCCACAACACTCATTAAGTCCATCATCCTCTTATTGGGCCAAGACCCAAAACCAAGTCCTCATGCAAAGCCCAATATTGGCCCAATTTACTAAATTGGGCCCACCTCACCAAATGGGCCTAGATCCAAGGTCCATAATAATTATTGGGTCCAATTTACCCCATCCATATTGTTCAGTTACGGCCCAAGCCCAGCTAGCCCAATAACAGCCCAATTACACAAGGCCCAAAATTGAAAACTCAACAGAGGGCGTACGCTGGGCGTACTCCTCTGGTATGCGGGGCGTACGCTCGTCTGTACCAAAAATCCTTCCAAGTGCTTAATGGCTTAAGCACTTAAGCCCATATGCTAGATCCAGTGACAAAAAGGGCCTAGGACCCATAAAGTCTCAATCTTTATCCTTTTGGACGTCCATAAAGCTCTTAACTCAAGGTCTTAACCCATTAAGACCTTCCTACTTCTTACATGGGACAACCAAAGTCATTGGGACATCATTTTTCTTACTCAAGACCTCTCCAATGGTCTGAAAGGACAACTCATCTTAACCAAAACACATCATGCATCAAGATGGGGGCTTTTGGGACAAGAATGGCGTCAAAACTTCACCATACTTAGATCTACACAAAATAGATGTCAAGCAAGAAGCTTTATACCTTTAGGAGCTCTTGAACCACCAGAAAACTTCAGATCTACACGATGGCCTTCTTCCTCTACTCACTAGATGCAACACCTTCTTCTCAAAGCACTCAAAATTCACCTCCAAAGCTCACACACTCAAGAAGTTGGCTATGCTTTGGGGAAAACGGCTCTAAACAGTGGAGGCTAGGGTTGGGAGGGTTATGAGCTCTTAAGGTTGTTTAAATAGCCTCCACACCCGAAATATTAGGGTTTCTGGATGATAGACGTGATGGGTTTTGAGCAAAACATCAATCCTATGGTGTACATGCAAACCCTAATAGCTTTTGGATCTAGTTTGTCTAATGAACATG